CCCTCAGGTATGATAGAAATTTGAGGACAAAGGCTAGACTTCCCTTTGGACAAGGCTGGATTCTTTACTACACAAAAAGATACAAGTCCGCGATGGAAAGGTGGAGACCGACACAAGTGGAAGTTCTCAGGATCATCTGTTGAAGATATCAGAATTTTAAAAATCTTAAAAATATGTGAGTACAAGATCAGCTAGGTGCAGATAAACACCCAAAAGAGTTGACTCAGCTGGTGTAATGTAACATCTGGAGGTTTGGCCACTGAAAATTTGAGGTGTCCCTTGAAAGGACACCGATGAAATAAAAATAAAAATTTGCCATAGAGAAGAAGACTAGCGGAGAGATTAGGATGTTATTATTATCCATATTATTAATGGATTGTAATTTACGAAATACTTTTACTTACCTTGGGTATCACCTGCCGAGTGGTGTAATTGCAGTAGTAGTGATAGCTGGTTTCCCCAAAAATACTGATTTGGGAGGTTTTTAGTGGCTTGTGCCAGATTGCAGAGCAAGTTGGAGCAGAGCTAGACAGAGAATTGTGTCCTGACTTTTGACTCTGAGTACTTTTCCTCCCCAACCACAAAGCAGTTCTTCTCGGCACCTGGTTGACACGAGGTCTGACTCCGTTCCTTGCACCCTGGGCTCCTCTCGGGGATAGACGGGTCTTTCTTTGGACTCCAGTTAATGGTGTTTATTCCATGGTGACTATCCTCACTAATCATTATTTTTGAGGGACAAATGCAGATGTCTAGGTCTTCTAGATCTTCAGGATGTTTCTGAATAAAGCTTGCACAGCGTTGCAGCAGTACAGGTCCTGATGAACCCTGTTTGGATGCCGAAACACGAACTAAGCCGGAATGCTGCAACGAGGGCGTACCTGTAGAATACCGCGGTTTAGAGGACTCAAGTTTTTACTTTTATTTTATTCTTTTTTAAATGTTTATTTTTGAGAGAGAGACAGAGAGACAGAGAATCCAAGCAGGCTCTGCAGTGTCCGCGCAGAGCCTCATGTGGGGCTAGAACTCCTCAACCCTGAGATCATGACTTGAGCCACAATCAAGAGTCGGGTGCTTAACTGATGGAGTCACCCAGGTGTCCCCAGTTTTTTATTTTATTTTATTTTTTTTTTAAAGATTTTTTTTTAATGTTTTATTTATTTCTAGGAGAGAGAGAGAGAGAGACAGCGTGAGCAGGGGAGGGTCAGAGAGAGAGGGAGTCACAGACTGAAACAGGCTCCAGGCTCTGAGCTGGCAATCAGCACAGAGCCCGACGCGGGGCTCGAACCCATGAAACGTGAGATCATGACCTAAGCGAAAGTCGGACGCTTAACCGACTAAGCCACCCAGGCGCCCCACCCAGTTTTTTATTTTTAAAAATAATTCTTAAAAACGTGTAATTGAAAATTGTTTGCGTATGTTGCTATCAAATATACTTCTTCACTTTGAGAGAAATAATTGATATTAGCATTTAAATAGTAAATGAAAATAAGCTTCTCTACACTCGCACACACTGTGCCTTTTATTTCTGAGGTAATCCTGAAGGCCCCAGCTGGTGTCATGGACACACAGACAAAGGAGCAGGGGTGGAGGAAGGGCACAGCTCTCTGCTAGGTCTGCAGGAGGCTGGCCCTGTTTTCAGAGCATTTGGTGCCCTCTCAGTCATTACAGGTTTGCCCAGAAGCTGTTATGTCGTTCAGTGCAGGGAAGCCGAGAAGTTGCAGGATGTCCCTGGGTGCTGGTCCTGGTCCCTGAGGATGCTTATGTGAGCCCAGATCATTAAATGGCTCTGCGTGTGTGTGAGTGTGAGTGAGAGAGAGAGAGAGAGAGAAGGTAGGTAGTAAGGAAAGGAAGAAAACTAAGTTGTTAGGGACTTTTCCGTACTCTCAGGCTCCTGTGTCATCTCATCCACTCCTCACAACAGCCTTGGGGGGTTGGGAGGAAAGGAGGCTCAGAGTGGTGACATCCATCTCATGTCACACAGCAAAAAAGTGGCAGGGTTCCCCCAAGGGCTTGCTTGGTTGATGGCCTAGTTGGAGGCCTTTCTTCTATAGTGGCTTGTTTCGTGGCATGCTGAAAGGGGCACGTGAAGAAAATGGGGACTGTGACTAAATAAGATTAGGAAGTGTGATGTTAAGCCCCTTTATTGTAGAACTTCTCAGAGCCTTTAAAGTGCCCCCGTGCATCGTGAAGCTTTGAAGAGGGACACAGAACGTGTTGCGGCTTGCATTTCTCCCTCACTCCCAGGGTAGGCTCTAGAAAATGGCATGTGATAGCCTACTTTGTGGGGCGCGCTGGTGCGTGAGGACACTGTCCACAGTGACGCCACAGATGAGCCACTGCAAACATGGTGGGGCCTTCTGAGTGCCATTCAGTGGCGACGCGGTGCTTGGAGCTAGACATGGAGCCTGTGGTTCCCTGTGGAGGCCCTGCCGCTTGTCATCAGGACAGAAGCTGCCCTTGGAAGAATGGCCATCTCTTTGTGAGGTTCCTCTTCTTTGGCACCTAGTCCCGGGCCCTCACGGAGGGAGGGAGTTGGGAAAAGTCTCAGGTGGAAGTGACAGAACACCCAACTGACCCGACTCCACAGAGTCTCAAATCTGGGGACGGACGGCCGAGGGCCCTGGCAGCAACCCAGTGATATCAGTAGGCACTTAACCTCTCTCGTCTTTTCTCAGCCGTGTTGGCCATTTGCCCCCAGGCCTTTGACGGCTTCAGGTGCCACAGCAGCACTTGGAGACTGGAATCAGCGTTCGGGCAGATTTGGTAGCGAACAGGCCCTTCTCTCAAATGGTTCTGTCCATTTTCTCACCCCGAAGGAAGCTGCTTCCTGGCAGTCCTCTGTTGTCCCTGTGGTGGGGACAGGGTGATGCACCCACCTCCAGCTACAGGGGCATCCGAGGGAGACTTGGTTGGCATAGACACATTATGATCTCTTCTCTGGGGCCAGGCCCGGTGTTTCTCAGTTACGGTGGGGGGGGGGGGAGCGGGGCGGGGAGGACTGGAAGGCTGTGGGTGGTGCTTGCCTGTGTCCGCCTTGTTATCCGAGACTCGCACCAGGTACCTGCGCTGATGATGCCTGAGTCGCCCACCCTCCCGGACAGATTGGCCCGGAATCCCTCATGGACCCGCTTCAGGGGCCAGCCTTGGCTCCCGGCTGCCGTATTCTCCCCACCTCTGGTCTGTGTGCGGTCTGTCTGCGGCTGGGCTTCTTTCTCCCTGCCCTCAAGCGCCCTGGTGCTGCCCTGTCTCTGTCGCACTCTCCCCTCTGTTCTCTCTCCTGTTTCCCCCCACCATGTGACCCTTCCCCCACCCGTAACTCCTGGCAACCACTGATTTATCTGCCATCCTTACATTTTTGTCTTTTTGAGAATGTCATGTAAAAGAAAAATGATCTAGAATGTGACCTTTTGAGACTGGCTGCTTTCCCTCACATAGTAATACCTTTGAAATTCATTCAAGTGCGTATGAATAGTTTATTCCTTTTTATTGCAAGTGGCATTCTGTACTGTGGCTGTACCACAGTGGAAACAGTGCTTTGTGTATTTACTTGTTGAGGGACACCTGGCTTGTTTCCAAGTTTTTTGCCTATTATGGGTAAAGCTGTTACAAACTTTTCTGTATAGGATTCCGCGCCCCCCCCCCCCCAATTTTTAGCAATTGTGGTAAAATACATGTAACATATATTACGTTAGCTGTTTTTAAATATGCGATGCAATCATATTAAATGCTGTCATATTGTTGAACAACCATCTTTCATCTTGTAGAACTGCAGCTCTGCCCACCAAACAGTAACTTCCCATCCTCCAGCAACCACCATTCTACTTTCTGTGATTTCGATTACTCTGCATGTCTCCTAGAAGTGGAATCATGTAGTTCTTCTCTTTCTGCCATGGGCCTGTGGCTGGGTTTTGTTGTGAACACAAGCCTTTACTTCTCTGGGATACATGTCCAGTGCAGTTGCCCAGTTTTGTGATAGTTGCGTGTTTAATTTCCTAAGAAACTACTAACGTCTTCCAGAGTGGCTGTGCTATTTTATATTCCCACCAGCAATGTTGTGGGGCCAGCTCTCTGCCAGAGTTTGAATTAAATTTCTGGAGAATGGACTCTGCTGACGATGGATTTGGATATTTTCCCTTAGAGGAGTCATGACTGGCTGATTTGGAAAATAGTAGCTGCCACTCCCGTATTTATTCGTGTGGCTTGGGGCAGATGTGTGGAGAGAAGACTGAGCTCTCACAAACGAGGGCTGGGTACTTTTACTCGTAGGGGCCACTCTAGGTGTGGTTTCCGAACCTGTGTGCGTACCGGAATTCCTCACAGGATTTCTTAATCATGCACATTCCTGGGTTTCCTACAGACCTGCTGAATTGGAATCTGTATTTTTAACAAGGGCTCAAGGGAGTTTTAAGCATTCTGCCCACATCAGTTGGGAATTGTGGTGTTTTAAGATCTATGGTATTACCAAAAGGTGAAAGTTTTAGAGGCATGTCACATACTATATTAAAGATGAAAAATTTCCTGAACTCTTTTCTACTTATCTCTTTCCTTGACCCTATATTTATATTTTTGTCCTCTCTTCATACCTAATTCTGTTTTTAATTTTCTCTCCTCCATCTAGTTTTCTCACTGGTTTGTCTTTCTATCCCCCCTCCTCCTCCCTTCTCCCCTTCTCCTACTTTTCTTTTTTTCAAGTGTCTTCTGGTAAGTTACTGATCGTTCTTTTCTCAGTTGTCACTTTGTCCTGCAATTGTAACTTTCTTTCTAGATTCCCTCTTCTCCAGCCTTAAAAAGTGTTTGCTGTTTAGCACCCAGGACTGATACCAAGTCACATTTATCCTGTTGGGGCAGATAGATCTGAGTCTCACAGATCATCCTTACCTTTTAATGGCCGGAATAGAAAACATCTATCAGGGTTCAGTGGAGGAAGCTTTACATTTTATATTCAAAGATTGAAATAATTAAGGATTATTCTTAACTAGTCTTTTTTTTTCTTCTTGTAGGGAAGAAGAAGAACGTTTGAGAAATAAAATTCGAGCTGATCATGAGAAGGCCCTGGAAGAAGCAAAAGAAAAATTAAAAAAGTCGAGAGAGGAAATCCGAGCAGAAATTCAGACAGAGAAAAATAAGGTAGTCCAAGAAATGAAGACGAAAGAGAAGAAGCCACTGCCACCAGTCCCTATACCAAATCTAGTAGGAATAGATGGTGGAGACCCAGAAGATAATGACATAAGAAAGAAAAGGGAGAAAATTAAAGAGGTAAGCTGAGATTTATGAGATGGAGTGGTTACAGTGTTTGCCTGGATTTTAATATATACAAACATTTGTATCATCTGTGGTGTCTGCTTTGTTTTTGTTCTTGTTTGTTTCTGGGTTGTGGTCATAGTTCAGATTCCACCTTGCCAACAAGGGCCAGAACACTCTCTTTCTTCATATAGATTGTAATATAGTTATCGAACACTGAACATTTTGATAATAACGTGTAGATCGTTATGCCATTCTGTACTGAGAGTTCTTTGGATAGTCCGCATTTTATAAATAATGTAGAATAGATCTGTAAATAATTTATCATTGAGTAAGAAATTTCTTACGGGTGGACTTATGGGGGACTCCGCCAGGTACTCTGCCAGTCTCCTCAGAACCAGGCTTTGGAAGAGTTGACAGCGTGTCTGCCATCTTTTAGGGAGTGGGCAGGTCATGCGACCCCTCAGCCGTGCTGCATAGTCCCTCTGAGAGCCCTAGTGGATTGAAGAATGGGAAGCGGTTGACCTCAGAATTCTTTAAACTGTTTAATCTCAGAAGTCTTTCCATTTGTTATTCTAGGAATTACTTGGAGATAAAGAGAACAGATGAGGGAATGTCTAGTGAATATTATAGTTACATTTTGTTGCTAGAACTCTGTATAAGGATAATTCTTCAGAGTTTGTCGTTGTAGCGCCTGTGAAGAGAAAGATTTTGTCAGGTTGTAACAGCATCAACGGTATTTCCGAGGGATTGTTTATCATAAAATAAGACTGTAATTTTAGTTCAAATAGTCAGATACCTATTCAGATATATTCTATTAATGAATATGAAAGATTTAGGAGGTACTTGAAGCTTGACCTTATGAATTAGGGTAAGACCATGACCTTGATGGAATTGAGACTGAACTAAACTCTGGAGTCTGATGCACTGGCTGCTAAAGGCACTTTATTTGGACCATATTGGGAAAACATTGACAGGTTGCTGTGTTTTTTGTTTTTTGTTTTTTGTTTTTGAGATGCCTGACCTTTTTTTAGATGTTATTAGAATTTGTTGAAATACTTTCTTCTGTCTGTAATAATTCAAATAACCGTGTGTGTGTGGGAGACTCCCACGGCCACCCACGGCCTCAGTGACTGCTGGACGGACTCCCGTGACTCAGCAGCACTGTTGTGTTTGTGGTTTCAGGTTACTGCGGCAGTTGGAGACAGATTAAAATTAGAAATAGAAAAAACCCATAGGGCAGAGCCCAGGAGACCTCAGATACAAGTTACTAGTTGTCCTTTTCTGGTGGGGTGAGATGGACACTGTTTAATTCTTCCAGCAGGGATGTGGTGATGTGTGCTGATGGGTGTGAAATATCGCCAACAGGCCAAGTTCACCAGAGCCTAGGTGTGCGGGGGGTTTTATTGGAGGTTTATTCTGTGGGCGTGGCCGACCTTAGTTCTCCTGGCCCCTCTTGGGTCAGGCTGATACCGTGTGGCCCAAGTCCCCACCACAGATCACATCGTGAGCATAAACTGTCTGACACAGCCCAACGCTTCACTAAAATGAAGATATTCTTCACAGGCAGGATACTAAAATTTCAGTAGTTATTTTCCAGGAGTCTGGCACAGGACGTATCTTTCTTTGGGATGTACAGGGTTTGGACAACCCAGGCCTGCGGAGTTAACCCTTTAGAGCACACCATAAGAGCCAGTGTTTTTACAAGTCAGTGCCTATGTAGGCTCCTGTTGAACATTACCAGTACGGGCTTGGCACACAGAGAAAGTTGGAACTTAAGCTGGCTATAGGGACTGCAGGCTACCGAAGGGTTCAGGAATTAGAGACCTTGTTTACCTCCGAAGGCAGGGGTATAATGAAGTTGGAAAGGTAGTTTTAAGAGGTGCTCTTAACCCCTAGATCCTCAGTTCTCTAGTTTTGGCATCCTAGCTGCTGCCCTCCCTTCTCCAACAGAACACTAAGGTTTACCTTTTGGGGGGATGAATTAGAGAAGATCTGGATTTGGGGAACACCAGGTATGACTCAGGGAAAACAGAAAGAGTGGTGAAGGTGGAGGGAATTAAGTGAAAAATATTCTGAATATTGAGACCGCTTTCTTCAGAGCTCTTGCTTGGAATTCTGGCTGCCAGGTGCCTGTTGAGTAGGCAGGAGTAAGGAAGAGGTCTCTGAAGAGACTGGCCCGAGAGAAAAGAGCCACACTGTTCCTCAGTGAAATCCCACCCGGCTTCACCCGAGCTCCCTGAGATGAGGCTCAGTTCAACAAGACTTGCTTGTTCACTGATAGCCTTTAACTGTCTTTTGTTTCCCTCTTATTTGAAGAACAAAGGTCACCAGACATTTCAGGGAAGTTTCTCCCCTTAGAGAGTAAGACAGTCGGAAGAAAGGAATTCAGAGAATATAGAAACAATACAGGGAGGAGAGAAAAAAAAACAACAACATCATTTGAGGAACAAAAAAATGGAACTCATAAGGTCAGAAACACAAAGAACATATATAGCATATGAGAGAGCTCTTGGAAATAAAAAATGTGATGGAATTTTAAAATTCAATAGAAGAGTTGGAAGATAAAATTGAGCAAATCTCTCAGTAGAACAAAGAGACTGAGAAAACAAGAAAATAGGATCAGTCAAGAACATCTAACAAGTGATTAGATAGAGGGAAGAGGAGGGGGAGAAGTTGAAGAAACAATTTAAGAGAATTGGCTAAACCTAAGGAATATGAGTTTACAGATTGAGAGGACCTGGCAGCCATGTAACAGCAGTGAGCAAAAAAAAAAAAAAAAAAAAACTCCTACTGAAATTTTAGAAAAATAGGCATTCAAAAACAGACCCCAGGGGTGCCTGGGTGGCTCAGTCAGTTAAGTGTCCAACTCTTTTCTTTTTTTTAATACTTTATTTTTGAGACAGAGAGAGACAGCATGAGCAGGGGAGGGTCAGAGAGAGAGAGGAAGATACAGAATCTGAAGACAGGTTCCAGGCTCTGAGCTGGCTGTCAGCACAGAGCTCCATGTGGGGCCTGAACCCATGAACTGTGAGATCATGGCCTGAGCTGAAGTCGGACACTTAACCGACTGAGCCACCCAGGCGCCCCAGTTAAGTGTCCAACTCTTGATTTTGGCTCAGGTCATGACCTCACAGTTGTGAGATGAAGCCTGTGTTGTGTGCTGTGCTGGGCATGGAGATGGAGCCTGTGTAGGATTCTCTCTCTCTCTGTCTCTCTCCCTCCCTCTCCCTCTCTCTCCTTCCCTCTCCCTCCCTCTCCCTCTCTCTCCTTCCCTCTCCCTCCCTCTTTCTCTCTCTCCCCCACCCTCTTTCTCTCTCCCTCCCTCCCCCCTGCCTTCCCCCTCTGCTCCTACCCCCTCCCCCCCATGCACGCACACTCTCAAAAAAAAATTTAGTGATCCTAAAAATTTAGGGAGGAAAAGAGGCTCCACTCAAAGATGGGGTTGTACATAATAGCACCTTAGATGCCTCAATCATAATTTTGGAAACCCTCAAATCTGAGGGTAAATTTAGTCATTTTCTCAGATTGCTCCTGGAAAATATGCTTCAGCACAAAAATAGGAAGAGAAGGGCTTTCGGTCATAGGGGGTCTGTCACTAGAGAGGGCAAGGAAGGGCACTCTCAGGATGGCGAATAAGGGACTCAGCAGGGTGACTGCTGTGCTTTAGGCAGAGAGAACGGAGGAAGCCAGAAGCCAGGAGGAAGCCAGAAGCCAGTGTTGGGGCTGGAGGGTAGAGAGCTTCAGGAAGGATTGATACGGTCAGAGAATAAAGTGGAACTGATAGTCTTATCTGATGTGTTTGATTATACTGAGACAAGGTTTGAAGCTCAAGTATAATTTAGAAGTAAATTCAGAATTGATACATTAAAAGCCTAAGCAAACAAAAAACCCTCAAACCCTGGACAGGTAGGTGAGAGCAGGAAAAACAAAAGCTGAATCAAGTCATGTAGTAATTGTAAGAAAAGCATGTTGTTAGTTATATTGGGAGGAGGTGGCCTGGAGAAATCTATGTGGAGGTAGTAGTGGCATAAGAAAGCTAAAGTATCTTAACTGTAGGAAAGTGTAGTAAGTATCTAAACGTTTTGTAAAAATCAAGAAATAGCACTGGAAACTATATTTCAGAATATAGCGTTAGATAGAAAACACAGGTGAAGAGCTTAATTGGCCCAAAAGAGTGGGAATTATGAGTGGGGAGGATACAGCAGGCTACTAGATTTCTTTTAAGAGTCAGCTTTATTGAGGCATAATATGTATCCAGTAAAATGTACCTGTTGTAAGAGTACTGCTTGGTGATGGGTTTTGACAGAGGTACACGCCTGTATAACGGCAACTCTTACCAAGATGTGAACACGTTTACTGTCTCAGAATGGCTTTTCTGTGCCCCCTCTGGTCCGTCCACCCCTTGGTCTCAGCAATGACTCCTCTAGTCATTCCAGATTACATTGGTCTTTTCTAGACTTTCAATGAAATGGAATCATAAAGTATGTGATATTTTGTTTCTGGGCTTTTGCTCAGCCCAGTGTTTTTGAGACTCATCTATGTAGAATGTACGTAATGGTAATTTTTATCTTAATGGTATTTCATTATATGGATGTACCATAGTTTGTTTTATTTATTCACCCATTGAACATTTTTGTTCAACATTTGATAATAGTTTTTGGCTATTATGAATAAAGTTGCTGTGAACATCTGTATATTAAGTATTTGAGTATATGTTCTAGTTTTAGTTTTGACATTTCAGTCTGTGATCTATTGCCAGTTAATTTATTGTCTGGAGTAAGGTCAAGCTTCAGTTTTTGCCCATAGGGCTTTCTAGGTATTCCAGTATCATTTGTTAAAATGATCCTTTCCTATTGAATTACCTTGGCACTTTGTTCAAAATCCAGTGACAGAATCGGTAGATGTTGAGGGTCTTTCTGGATTCCTACTTATTCCATTAATCTGTATGCTTATCCATAATGCCAGTAGGAGACTGTATTACTTTAACTTACAGTAAGCTTTGAAATCAGGTCAAATCCTTGAACTTTGTTCTTTTTAAAAATTGTTTTGGTGTTTCTGGGTCCTTTGCCTTCCTAGAATTCACTTTTTCATGTAAAATAAAGGGCTGCTGGATTTTGATTGAGATTTTATTGAATTTGTAGATGAATTGAGAAGAATCGTTATCTTAATATTCAGTGTTGCGTGAGCATGTTACACGTTTCCACTTATTTAGGTTTTCTTTAATGTGTCAGCAGTTTTTATAGTTCTCCATATATCATTTCTTGCATGTACTCTATTATGTTTATTCCAAAGTATTTCATGTTTTTTGTTGCTATTATAAATGAACTTGTTTTGTAATTTCCATTTCTGATGTTCATTACTTAGCATATAGAAATATATTTGATTTTAGTTTTCTGAACTTGTATCCCTGTTAATTTTATTGAAGGCATTTATTAGTTCTAGTGGGTTTTTTTTCTTAGATTGCTTAGGATTCTCCTTATACATAGTAATGTCCTCCATGAATAGATGTGCTTTTTCTTTTTCCTTTTTGATTGTTATGCCTTTTATTTCTTGTTACATTGGCTAGGATTTCCAGTATTTATTTATTCAAAATAAATGTGGAGCATGAACATACTTGATTTGTTCTCAACTTGAAGGGTTAAGAATTTAGTCTTAAGTATGACTTTAGCTGTAGATTTTTTGAAGATCCCCTTTATTAGGTTGTGAGCATTTCCTTATAGTTGATTGAGTTTTTATCATGGAATGGGTGTTGAGTCTTGTCAGGTGCTTTGCCTGCCTCTATGAAAATGATCGTATGATGTTTTTCCTTTTATTCTAGTAACATGGATTCTGTTGATTGGGTGTTAAATTAGTCGAGGTTGTTAAAACTAGGTTTCACTGTACTTGACTATTATATAGTATCCTTTCTGTATTGCTAAGTTTTGTTAAGGAATTTTGCATCTGTGTTTTTGAGATATATTGGTTTTCAGTTTTGTTGTAATATCTTTGTCTGGTTTTGGTGTCTGAGTAATGCAAGCTGTAAAAAGACAAGTTGAAGAATATTCTAATGAATGATATACTGTGAAATGAATAGATTTTTGATATACCACAGTCCACTGCTAAGTAATTCACCTGTTACGTAATTAACAAACTAGTTGATAGTTCAAACTAGTTGATAAAAAGTATTTACTAGCTTAGTGGCTCTAAACTGGGACTTTAAGCTTGGCTACATCCAACTCTGTAGGTGTTATTGTCAATAATCTGCTTTTTATTCTTTTGGTTAGTATCTCTATGTTGGGAGAATGTTTAGCCCCCATCAGCCCAAGATAATGTGTTACATAGACCTTGAGACTACCAAGCGAGAGAGAGCCCTTTATCCCCTGGTGTCTAAAGCAGTATGCATAAAAGAACTTGATTCCCCACTACCTGAATCACACGTACCCAGCCACTTTTTTAGATCAGGGCTGGCAAACTACAACCTGCAGGCCAAATTCTGCCTCCTGTCTATGTTTTAAAAATACAATTTAATTGGGGCAAGTGTATGCATTTGTTTATGTATTGTTTAAGGCTACTTTTGTGCTATGGTGGCAGGATTAAGTAATTGCTAGAGATGGTATGGACCACAAAGCCTAAAATATTTATTTTAAGGAAGGATTTTGCTGATCTTCAGCCTAAGGGTAAGGAGTTCTCTAGTAATTGGTTGTCGAGCCAGAGCCCCTTGACCGACTGTGCCATTGCAATCGCAGTGGCAGAAGGGAGCTGTTCCCAAAAGAATTGGCAGTTCCTCAAAGGAAAGAATGCTAAACAGACACCTTCTTCCCCAATAAAAAGAACTTGTCTTTTACACCCAGGTTTTTCTTATGTTGTGTATACGGAGGTTAAACACGGTTATGTGTGTTATCACGCTGGTACAGATGTTAATAGAATAATACTCTGGTGTAGGAGATACAGGAGAATGCATAGGCTGTAGGGATAGATGATGTGGATCGATGAAATAGTGGTCTGTGAGTAATGAGGATTGATGGATTGTAACTTTTCCTTTCTCAGATGATGAAACATGCCTGGGATAATTATAGGATATACGGATGGGGACATAATGAGCTCAGACCTATTGCAAGGAAAGGACACTCCACTAATATATTTGGTAAGTTTACTGCTTCTGACTACTGTATCCATTTTCTCCATTCGTCTTTAAAACAGAATCTAAGTACTTTCTAAAACCTGAACATTTCTATTTAATTGTAATTTAAAGCCACATGTATTATTATTTACTAATTTTTATTTTTTGCTAGCTTCAGGCAAGATAGATACTTTGGAACATACAGATATTGGGGTAGATTTTCTACTTACATACAGATGCTGTAGTCCTTTATTAGTATTTTGAAGCTTTTTCTGCATTTTTTTTCTTTAATGTCAGGGACGTTAGGTATCTGTTTGCAATCCTTTTTCGTCAGCACCATTCTGGTACCCCCCATGTTATGAGAGGGAAGGGATGCAAAAGAAAGCAGTAGTGCTCTGTATGTATAAAAAAGTCCCATGGCCAAGGTGATTTGGTTGGTAAGGTGAGTAGGTTCCGTTGTACATTCACAGTTCCAAGGGGAAGATGCTCAGTGTTTGTGGGTGGAGTTCTTGGGAAGAGCTGTGTTCAGCTTGAGCTTACTCTCCTTGTTAAACTTCTCCATTTCAAAAAGTACTTAACCACGTTGACTTAACCTAAGGATAAGTCTTAAGAATTATCCAGCTGTTATTTATAGCCTTTATCTCTTTCCTCCCCAATCTCAGTTTTGCTTGATGTAATGGGTAGCTTTTAAGTAATAATAGGTGAAGTTAACAGAATATTAATGAGGTAGTAATAATACTAGTTACATGCAGTGTAGTTATCCTTGCTGATTGTAATGTGCCCACCACAGTCATCTAGGTGATGGCATGTTTTTTTGTGACATTTGGAAGAATTTTCCTAATGCTGTGATTTCTCTTGTAATTTGTTGCTTGGTTATTTTGTGTAAAACAGAAAATGTCTGAAAAGATCATTTCTCTTGGGTTTCAGAGATGTTGGAATGGAAGAATAATGGAAAAAATTTTCCTTTAGGTCATCAGAGGCACCAGAAATCTCTTAATACAATATTTGAGTGAGAATCTATCACCTAATGAAATAAAGCTTATTTCCTTAGCAGAGGTTACAAATAGAAAGTTCCCATTGCTCTGTGGATGCCACAGAGTGAGACATGAGTGCAGGAAAAGACATTGCATTTAATGGCTAATTAAAATTAGATCCTCTTTTTCCAGTAAATATATATATTTTTAATGTTAAACTCTTTGGTAAACTGAGTCCTTTTTAAGGATTGGAGTATAAATGTATACTGAAAATAAAAGTTGGGTGTTAATTTTTTATTTGTTTTTTAAACCTGATTTCTCAGAATGTATACTGTATTAACATTTATCAAGGAGATACTGGTCCTAGGCAAAATAGTTGGTAAATAACATTGTTTCACTTAATCATGCAGTGGACTGTCTAAGGAAGGATTGTTTGCTGAATTTGAATAGAAATGAGTTTTCAGGGAACTAAAAATTCCATTCCTTATAAATCAGTATAAATCTTTTAGTGAAAAAAAGGGGTGCTTCTTTCCTAAATGAATATAATTTTGTTAAAATCCTAATGGAGAAGTTTTGACTTGATTTTTTTTCTTTTTAAAAACAATAGCTTTTTTTTTTTTTTAAGGTGGTTTTAATTTGTAATTTTGTCAGACTTCTTCAAATGTAAACTTGCTAGATCACTCCTTGGTTAGGTTGGTAAGTAAGTGGCAGGTTCAGATTATTGTCAGGTGAGTTCTTGCCAGCTGGTGATTAGAGCACTTAATGTTAATTTAGTGGGTAAACTTGAAAGTTAGCTGTGAGATCCTAGAAGTTAAAGGAAGTTAGAACTGGAAAGGGAAACTTTGAAAAATGAGCCCCTTCCTTCTGAGTTAACTAGGTACAGAAGCAAGATTTTGCCAGTGGCCCTCCATTTTGGAGGGATCATCATGTCACTGGATAACCAGTATATTCCAGTAAAAAGTTTTACCTTCTTTGCTACCAGTCTGGCATGAGAGCAGTTACTTTGTTTAGGGATTCTGTAATTTGGTTCGTGAATAAGACGATATATTTTCCTTTAGAGCAATAGTCTTATACACATTAATAGTAACACTGATAGTATTTATATAGTTTATATTGCTGTTGACAGAATTGTGTCTCCCATGAATTCATCTGTTGAAGCTCTAACCCCCCTGTGATTATATTTGGAGATAGAGCCTTTAAGTGTGAGGCCCTAATCTGATAGCAAGTGCTGGAGCCCTTAAGGGGAAGAGACACCACGGGTTCTCTCTCCCCATGCGCATGTACCCAGGAAAGGTCATATGAGGGCAAAAAGGGATGTCTCTGAGCCTTCACCAAAACCTGGAACCTGGATTTGGACTTACAGCCTCCAGAACTATGGAAAAATAAATTTCTGTTGTTTAAGCCTCCTTGTTTATAGATTTTGTTATGGCAGGCCAAGCAGAGTAATAAATGTACTAAATGCCAAAGACTGGTTTTAGAGATTTATGTCAATGAACTTACTTTGCCTTCAAAACAACCCTGTGAGGGGCGCTTGGGTGGCTCGGTCTGTTAAGTGTCCGACTTTGACTCAGGTCATGATCTCACAGTTCGTGGGTTCGAGCCCCACATCGGGCTCTGTGTTGACATCTAGCTCAGGCTGGCCTGTTTCGGATTCTGTGTCTCCCTCTCTCTCTGACCCTCCCCTGCTCACGCGCTCGCTCTCTCTCTCTCTCTCTCTCTCAGAAATAAATAAAACATTAAAACAAAACAAAACAAGAAAACAACAACAACAACCCTGTGAGGCAAGTACTATTATGATTGTTTCCATTTTACAGATGAGGAAACCGAAGCCCAGTTAGGGTTAACTTACTTGCCCAAGGTCACACAGTAAACAATGGAGCCAAAGTTTGAATCCAGGCAGTCTAGTGCCAAGGCCCATTCTAACCACCATTCCACACTGTTTCAGTAGATTCTAAAATTAGAAAAAAATTAATAGCAGAACACAGGAAAAATCCATTGTGAGCAACAAAATTATAGTGAAATGGTAGAAAAAGTGAAAATGCAGTCTGCAGAATTTTCAGTAGTCAAAATTAGGTCCTTATATCTTCTATTACAATTTTTGAGTATTTACAATTTTTTCCAGCCAAATAAGCTAAGTAGGAATGGATCCTTTATTGTTTATTTTGGCTTTTATTTTAGATAAGATAGTTTATTAAAGGATTAATAAAGATTAAGACTTTGTTTCCCTAAAGATTAAGACTTTGTTTCCCACTTATTCTGTTCCTTTTTTGGATCTTCTTGCTAGTGAATATGATTTGGAAGTTTTTTTTTAAATCTTTAAAAAATGTTTTTAAAGGTTATTTTCTCAGAGAGAGAGACAGAGAGAGCGAGCGGGGGAGGGGCAGAGAGAGGGAAAATCCCAAGCTGGCTCCTTGCTGACAGCGCTGAGCCTGATGCAGGGGCTGGAACTCAGGAACCCTGGGATCATGACCTAATCTGAAACTGAGAATCTGACACTTAATTGACTGAGCCACCCAGGTGCCCCTGTTTTGTTTTTCTTTTTGTGTTGTTTTTGTTTTGTGTTGTTTTGCCTTTGTTTAAATAGAAGTCTAACTGAGCAGTAAACGTTCTGAGTGTCACATCTGACATCCTAAATTCAGTATGTCTTTAAGAATCAGAATCTTAGAACTGAAAGGAATTTCAGAAGTCTAGCCTCTATTATGGTACATATAGACGAGTATTGAAACTTTACTTATGGTATTTGAGATTATGTGGAAAACAACTTTAAGATGTGTCCTTTTCTATTTTATTAGCTTTAATTATTAAAAAACTCTTTTCTATGGTAACTGAAATCAGTGCTCCTCTGACTTCAGTCCTTGGCATCATAGGATTCTTTATGTGCAGATAACAGAAAACCCATTTCAAAATTTCTAAAATAGATTAAATCAGCTCAGTGAAGTCCTAGCATAGATTGGAGTGCAGCTAAGCTTTTTATTTATGTCTTTGCTCCGTTTTCCTCTGTGTGTTGATACCTTCTGGCTGGCTTCTTAGGACGGCTGCCTCGGAGCTTTTATATGTACCTGCTGCCACATCTGTAGAAGAGAGCTCTGTAGAGTAGAGAGCACTTGGTTTTCTTAGAAACTTCACTGACTCATTGTTTCTTGTCCCAAATTGGCTTTTGTGCCCATCCTCAAACCAAATTCTATTCCCAGAAGGATGGTGTATATTCCTTTGGCGAACTTCTGGAGCTAGCGAGTGAGAAGAAAATGTTGGTGGATGTAAATTAAATTAGCACTGATACTAATTATTCCAACAGTAATTAATGGAGTGAATTCTTTTTACTTAGGTATCCTGGAGAATTAAGAGCTTTGTTAGGAATAGGTCTTTTTGCATTTAAAAGGAAGAATTTTGATCTGGAAAAGAGTGTTAACTTTGCAGTGCTTTTTCAAGTGTGTCTTTATTTTCTCTATATGTGTCTGTTTATGTGTTTTTATATATGTTTATATGTGAGTTCTTTTTGCTATTTTCTAACTTAACTGGCTTATGACTTCTAATATTTTGTTGAGGATTTCTGCATTTTTATTTATATCGTTCTCTGTTTTTCTTACATTATCTTTGTCTTGTTTTGGTATCCAGGTAATGCTAGTCTCATAAAATGAATTTGGAAGTGTTTTCCTCTCACTCCTCATTTTTCTGGAAGAGATTGTTTAACATTGATTTTATTTTCTTCTTCAGTGTTGATAAAATTCACTGGTGAAGCCATCTGCATCTAGAGATTTTTTTTTTTCTGGGAAGTTTTTAAACTGAAAATTCAGTTTCCCTAACAGTAAGGACCAATCAGCCTATCTACAGTTGACTCTTGAACAATATGGATTTGAACTGCATGGGTCCATTTATATGTAGGGTTGGTTTTTTTTTTTTTTTAATATAAATACAGTACAGTTGTGTGAATGCATTTTCTCTTATGATTTTATTAATAACTTTTTTTCTAGCATACTTTTTTTTAAGAACGTAGTTTATAATAGACGAACTGTGTGTTAATCAACTGTTATCAGTAACCTTCTAGTAAAC